GAGAGGTGGGATTGTACCGAATTTAGCCATTTTGTCTTTTTTTTCTTCAAATCGAATCTCTAATTGTCTTTTCAGTTCAACAAATTGTGAATAACGACGATACACATCCTTTGTTTTTATTTTGTATTCTTCAAATGTTGTCTATCTCAATTAATACTTCCATTAACATCATTCACTAAAACAAAAACCCTCAACTAAATGATTCAGAACCTAATTATTGTAAGAAATAAGAACAAACATCAAAATGTACTTTATAAACAGTATACTCTCCTTTGTCATCTCTTCTTAGTTGAGGGTCACTGACTGAAATATCAAGATATTCGTATTGTGCATAATTACTCATTTCAAGTTAAAAATGACTAATTTGTAGATTCTTGTGGAAATTTCCTTTCCTTTTTTGTTTTTGAAAACTTTATTTTTTTGAAAATAAATCTCTTTTATTTTTGGGTAACTATATTTAATAGTTTATTTCTTATTACACTTAAACTATTCTTTTCATCATTAAATGTTGTTTCTCAAGTTCTACTTCATATCTTCAAAAAAAAAAAAGAAAGAGATACTTTCTTTTATCATCCACTAACTAATGCACCCTAACTAGTCTTAATTCATTAGCTAATAACCTGTATCTTTAATAGAAGATTTAATTGTTGTAAATACTATAAAATTTTTCATTGTTTCATGAATGTTCCATTGTTTAAATTGTACTTCGTGTATTTATTCTGTTTGAATAATGATAATTGTTTTGAGAAAAGTCTTTATTTTGGTTTTTGTAGTAAATTTACTATTACTAAAAGAGTTTGTTAATATCAAAAGAATTACATTTAAATAATGAATGAAGGGTTTCAATTGATCTTGATGAGTTATTTTATTTTAGAGGTATTTGGCATGATTTTCTCAACAAAACAACAATTATTTAGCACAGTGTTTTAATACTCTCTAATTCTCTAAGTTATTGTGGTTAGAAATAATGATAAGTTCTTGTGTACAGTATTAGTTGAGAACAAATTGAGTTGAAATGAGTGTTCCTGATTAAATCCTTCTTCAATACTCTTACTTAAATTTGAATAAGACATTGTTTTATGATAGAAAGATATTCTTTTAATAATAAACTAAACTTTCTTCTCTTTTAAATCTTGTTTAGTTTAATGTATTAATAACACACTGTCCTTTTCAATCTAATTTCTACAAATACAACAGTATATGATTTAAATTTCACAGAACCTCTTCTAATATCCATAATTTATTGTTCTTTAGATCATCTTTGAGATACCTCAACAATGAAAATATGAGGATGAATTTTTTATCATTACAAGCAACATTATATCATTATTTCTTATTATAAATAGGTCTTTATGATGATACTGTGTGTTTAATATTAGAAATTACGTTTTGTTCTTAGACTATGTGAAAATGAGTTGATTTAACAAATACTTCAATCTGATTTTATTATAGAAATGAATGACGCTTAATTTTTTTATAATTACTATTGTTATTACAATAAAATCTAGATTTTATGAATTGAAATTATTGTTATATTATTGTTATTTTAACTACTATTTCACAAAAGATAAACGTAATTCGCAAAAATCATTTATTTTTTTAATGACAGATACGGTATTGCTCATTATCCTTGTATAAAAAGCACTGAACAAAAACTAAAACCAGAACAAAAGATAAATGCAAAACGGTGAACACCATAAAATCTCAAATCATTTAAAAAAGGAGTATAACCACCAAGAGAAAATATTTAGTTTATGGGGATTTATTATCAGTTATATCGTTTCCAAAGGAGGAATTGTTACTGTTAAACTACCAACAAGAAAAAAGGTTATTGATAAGAGAAACGAAATGAAATTGGTCTCTGTTGAAGTTGAAGGACATCTTTGGACAGACAAAATATTTCGTGAACAGATTACAGCTCTAACTAATCAACTTCAAAACAAAGAAGCTGTTAAACGATATCTAAACAAAGATGTTCATGATCTGTTTATGAATACTCTCACACAATGGTGCAAAATAAGAGGAGCCCAAGATGGAATCATAATAAATACCAAAATATCAAAAATTCAAACAGCCAATACATATAGAAGTAGTCCTAATGAATTTATTAACACAATTAATGATAATGGAATAATTTACACAATAACAGATATCAAAGCAAAGTATGGAGAATGGTTAAGACATGTCCTTGAATACTTTAATTATTCAACACGTCACCAATTAGTAATATCTTTGGCGACATTACCATATCAGTTACAAAATGCAATAACGACATTTGGATTGCAAGAAAAAATTGTCCAACCAAATCAAACAATTAACTCTAATTCAATAGATGGATATTTCGAGTTATTTGACCAAAATGGATGTTCAACGATATCAAAATTTAAATTCTTCATACCTTTTAATATTGAAGAGAAGTTACAACCATTGGTGTTCAAATAAATTTACTATAAGACTTTAAAAATCTTACTCTTCATAAAATTTCAGCAATATTTTAATTGAGTATTTAATAATATAATTTCTTTCAGTAACTTATTTAAATAAATATCATAGAGAATAATCAAAATAAATAATACAATTTTCTGTATTTATACATTGTTTGATTGTAATCTCTTAACATGAAGATATTAATAATTAATACTAAAATCAAATGTCTCAATGAATAAGAATAGAAATTCGTTTTAATAACTTTCTCATCTTTCTGTCAATTGAATTATAACTACTTTCTCATGAATGAGTACGATAAGTGTGTTGTTCTTATTTTTAAATTATATAGATATAGCCAAATCATTCATTATTAATTTACAATACATTCAAAAGATAAATAATATACCAAGGCAGTTCAAAGAAACCAATAATAACTCTATAATTATTAAACTCTAATAAAATGATGTAAATAAAATAATATATCTAACAAATATAAATTATTTTTGTTTATTAATCTAATAGTAAAGTGAAAAACATAAAGAGAATGATTAATTTTGATTCTAAGATTTTTATTATCAATTATATTCTATAATTTTGTTCTTCATCTAAATAGAAGAGAATGTATTTTCTGATTATTTTGGGTAAGAAACGTATCAAATGTATCTTTTAAATGAAGTATGTTATATAAAGATCTTGCAATAACTTTAAACAATTTATCACAAATGAATGTTTGGAAGATATATTCTAACTAAAATACAATGAATATATCTCTTATTTCAATTTTTTACACAGTGAAATAGAATAATATTGTTTTTTTTTCTAATGTTTGTTAAATTTGTATAAAAAAACAATGTATCTTGAAAACTATGGATAAAGATATTTTCCAATTAGCAAACAATAGAATGTCGGGTATTCACAACTAAATATCATATAAATTGTTTGTTATATAGAGGTGAATAGAGTATAATTAATATAAAGAAAAGATATCATATTTTATTGATGAAACTTTAATAAGATACATAGAGCTCAAACTATTATCTGTTCTATTTGAAACAAACTTCTTCTATGGTAGTTTTTAATTAAATGTATTTTTTTGTTAGAAAAGAGTCTCATTAACTAAATAAAAAAGAGTGTATACTTTCATAATTATCTTGTCAATAGGATTAAAAAATAGGATTCAGTATGAAATTCAAAAAAAAAACTTATAATTAGAATTAGAACTTAATAAATTCTTAAAGATAAAACAAAAGAATGAAATGATAAAATCTAATAAACTTTCTCTACTCAGATATTGAAATATATTAAAACATTAAAGAAGAACGGTGTTTTAAACTCGGTTTGTTTTAAAATAGCACTGTAGTATCTCATTATTAAAATTTTTACTTAACAGATTAAAGACAAAACAACCAAGAAATAACAAAACTTATTAATGTTATACTGTATTGAAATATAATAATCTTTTCACTGTTTTTTTATAAGTCTACTCATAGTTAATAAGAGATTAATGGAATAATAGATTTAAAGAAAAGAGAATAATTGTTTTGTTTTAATTTAATAGTTTCAAGATAGATATTTCCTATCAATATCAGATTCTATTTTGAATAATAACTTCTAAGGATCTGAGTAGATGAATAAACATATTAAAAATGAATATCAATTAATTCCCAAATTGAATCACTCTAACAGACTTGTCTAGAATCACATATAATTTGTATTCAAACAAATTAAATATAAAACCTCTAACAATTTCAGAATTACTGGCAAGAATTATTGAAAATAAAACACCATCATTAAAACTAACAACAAGTGCTTTTCTTTGATTAAAATCAACAAGAATAATTCTATCATTTAATTCATCTACATACCAGTCATTTGGTTCAATATCAATTCCAAATGTTTTGTCATTGATTTGAATAAAATTTGAATGAATACAAATCATAATATCATGGTACATCCTTTTTATTTTGATGGTTGAATAGTTTTCATTATTTTTGATAGTATCTTCTCCAGGAATCCACATTTGATTTCCACAATATACAACAGATTTATTAATATAAATCAACTGATTATTATTGTCTACCATTCTCCAACCATTTACTAGAGTTATTGGATCATCAAATTCAAATACTTTAATACACTTACCTGAAGTGTCAATAACATGAATACAATTCTTTTCCATTTCTTTGCCAATCAATACGATATTCTTATTATAAAACATTGCATCAACAATATCCATATTTGGAAATATTGCTTCTGTAAATGTTCCATCATCATTTATTTGTAAAATAGAATGTTTAGTAATGAGGAAATCATGTTCATTCATTAAAGTAGTGATGATTTTATTATGTGGAGTATAACTACAAAGTATTGATTGAGTAAGAATGTCATATTTATAGAAAGTATCATTATCAAGAATAATCAATTTATTTGCTCTTCTCTGAATCTTAGAGATTGAATGAAAACCACTTAATTTTATTTTATTAATTTCATTATTTAAATTAATTTCATATAAATATTGATTATCATAAACAGTTAAGATATCAAAAGGATTTATTACTTGAACAAGATGAATTTGATTTGTTGAATAGAAAATAGTTTGAACATTATAATTATTAATTCCACCTTTAATATAACAATCTCTTCTTGAAGATAACCAAAAATATTCTTTTTTCCAAGAAGCTCCAATTTTATGTTTAAAATGAGGATTAATAGATAAAACTTTATCCATCCAAATTGAATCTCTATTAAACAATTCATTTAATTTTTTACAAGTTAATGCAAGTAAATAACCACATTTAATATCAAACTTCATAATTTCTAATATTGTATATTCAGGTAATGATAATAATGATGAATTAGGTTGAATATTAATTATACATTCATTAGATTCATTAATTAAAGTAGATTTAGATTGTTGATCAATGAGTCTTTGAATTCGTGTTTTCATTTCTTCATTCACTTTAAAAGGTCTTCCAAAAGGTTTTTGACAACTTGGACAAATATTATCTTTTTTAAATATTTGACGTAAACAAACTAAACAAAAAGAATGACCACAAGAAAGAGTGACAGGATCAATTAAGATTTTATTACAAAAATTACATTGAATTTCATTCATAATAATCTCAGAATTCAAAAATATAGTTCTATTTTTTAAATCAAAAAATCATTTTTCAAATATCAAAAAATTAATTTGTGTTATTCATTTTCATATTTTTAAGATCTATTATATTTTGTTTGAATAATTTAATCATATCTTTACCATTTATATTAATATTTATGAATAAATTTTTACCAATAAAATAAAAATAATTTTTTAGTTTCTGTTTTATTTTTAAACTTTAGAATCAAAAAAAAATAGTAATTTGATTAATAGAAAAAACTATAAAAATAGTTGATACAAAAAGAGAAAATCAAATATAAGATTTAACTATTACAAAATTATTTTTCAAACTAATTTTCTAACTCCATCATTACTAAAAATATTATTGAGTCAATCCCGAAAAATTAAAATAATTTAAAGGAAGAAGAAACAATTTAAACTTGAAAATAAAAAAGGAGATGAAAAGAAAAATAAAAAAAAAAAAAAGATGATTCACAAAAGAAAAATGAAAGTATTTTTCCAAATGAGAAAATCTAAAAATGAATCAAATTATTCTTAACTGTTGTTATTAAATGTCGAACCCACATAACCTCATTCCTAAACCTTCTTCATCACCATCTCAAGACGATTCACCTACACCAAATATTGCAGAATATATTAAATCAATTCCTTCATGGTCACCTGAAGAACAAATGATATTAGAAGATAATATGAAACGATATCCTGCTTCACAAAATGCTGAATTTAAACGACTCACATTATTAATGACAAATTTACCTAATAAACGATTAAGAGATGTTTCATTACGTGTAAAATATATGAAAGCAAAAGAAAAACAAGATATTAGTTGGGAGAGTTTTCTTCATTCTTCTTTCGGTCAACAAAGGGTTGAAGTATCTCCTTCTCATTCTATTAAATCTCCTCGTGCTACTCCTACTGATCGTGATGACCAACCTAAACGTTCTAGACGTACTCCAATTAGAATAAAAAAAGATGATGATGATTTGTCTATGTCAAGTAATTCAAATCAAGTTTCTTCTGTTAATTCTTCTACTATAAATGTTAGAGATGCTAATTCAATGTCAATATCTTCTAATGCCCCTCCTCCTTTAGTTACTACTATGGCTCAACCAATCACAATTCAACACCCACAAATTCAAGTCGCTCCACAACCTCGTGTCACAGTTCCTCAATCTGCTGTTATATCTCAACCCCCTAACCCTTCTTATCCTCGACCAAATGTCTTTCCACAAAACTCTTATTTACCATCTTCAATAGGAAGGACAGCTCCAATAATGTATCAAACACGTGATAGAGGTTATACTTTAGATGACCAAACATGTGACCATTTGATTGGTGAAAATGAACGATGTTTAGAAGCGATAACAGCAACAGTCATGAGAAAACAAGGAGACTTCGGTGATTGTATTTCAGTCTTTAGCTCTAATGTCAATAGATTACTTCAAATCACAGAAAGAATGACTGCTAATCTTCCATTATTTTATTTCTCCCCAATAAACATCAACCCACCTAAATTTAAAAAGGTAGATTTACCTCAAGAACCAATAAGAATTCAACCAACTTATGGATTGGAATTTCAATTAGGAAAAAATTAATGAGTTTACTCTTTCTTATTGAGAGAGATCATGTAATTGTTTAATTAAGAGAATACCAACTTTTGAATCTTTTGATTTTCTTTTTTTGTTAGAAGTAAGTACAATGTTATTTTTTCATTTAATAGTAGTTATTAGATTTAAATAAATGTTAAAATAAAGAAACATTAATTTATGTAGTAGATTATTAGCATAGAAAGAATAATAAATGATAGATAGACCAAAATATTCAGTAAGATTAAAAAAATTTCAACGTCGTTCTTTTAATGAACAACTTTTTATTAAAGTATCAAACTTTAAAAAAGTGAATATTTCATAAAAAGAATAAAATAATAACAATTTAGAAGGAAACAATATTTTTATATTTAAAATTAGAAAGAAAAATTAAAAGAAGTTTTTTTAGTTTAAGAAAAATAACATTAAAAGAATTAATAATTAAATAGTAAGTTTATGTTATTTATACTTATTATTAATATAAAAAGGATATAAATAACAAAAACGAATGAAATTAAATGGGATTATATTCATTGTTATTTCTCTTTGCAAACTTAACAATAATCATACCAAAAATTAATAATAAGCCACATACTGCCACCACTAATAAACTTATCATTATTCCTTTTGCACCAAACCGTTCTAAAACAGTTTTCTTTTGTGCAGTTCCATTATCTACAGTAGCAGCTTTTATTGTTGTATTACCAAGTGTGGTTTGAGTAATAGTAGAATTAACACTAGGAAGTAAATGAATATTAGTTTTACCATTTGCATTACGATTAATATGAATTGTTTTTGGATTTAATTTTAACTGGACATGAGAAGGTTTCAATTTATTAGATTTAATAACAGAGTTATTAACTAAAACAGGACACTTTGAACATTCCCCATCTTTTTTTCCATTACATTTTTTACAAGATTCTTCTAAATGGCATTTATTGCAGAAACTTTTATTTTGTTGATTAAAAGTTTTTGATTTACATTTATTTAAACAAGAAGATTCATTTTTATTAACTGTTAATTTAGCCCATTTCTTTCCCCAAAATCCACCAAATCTAAATCTTCCTTCACGAGATAATTGATCCTTTTTATTTCTACTTAAATTTTTAACAATGTCTAAAGCATCAATTTTTACTACTGCATATCCTTTTATATTTTTTGAACCAACTCTAACAACAACACTTTCAGCTTGTCCTTTTTCAGGTGTATATTCAACTACTTCACCATTCATTCTTCTACACTTATATTTTTTAATTTGTTTACAAGTATTACCAACCATAATTCCAATAGAAACATTACTATCAGTATGTTTATTACAAGTATTTACTCTAATTTTTTTACCTTTAGGAATTTCTACACGATAATACTTTGCTTTACTTCTTCCATTTTTTTTATTACAAATATCTGCTGAAATGTTTTGATCTTCAAATGAAATTAATTCAACAAAATGAGGTCTTGATGGTCTAAATTTCATTCTTCCAATTTTGACAGAACTTGTTTTTTTAATTAATTCTACTTTTTTAGGAATAATTGTTTTAGGAAGGTTTTTCTCTTTCATTAAATTTTCTTCTTTTTTAACAAATGTTCCTGTTTTCATTTTTCTTTGAATCATTTTTTCTGCAATTTTTTCTGCAGCGACTTTTGCTCTTTGATGTCTAACATCGTGCTGAATTTTTTTCATTACATTTTTTGCTTCATGAAGAACATTATCAGTTTTATGAACGAGATGTTTTATTTCCTGTTTATTAACATTTCTTTTGTTATTTTTAAGATTGTTTGTTGGTTTGAATGGTATTGCTCTTATTCTAACCCATTCTCCTTTTTTGTTTTCTTTTCCTTTAATTTCAGAATGATGTGAAATAAACACTTTTTCATTAGGACTTAGTGCAAATGTTACTACATTTAATTTTTCACTCCCTGAATACTTTGAAATACATTTGGAATTCTTTCCAATACAACTAGATAATACTGTGACTGTTAAATGTCCTTTTGCTAATACTCGTTGTTCATTGTAAAATTGTAATGATACAGCAATATTTGACGGTGATTTATTTTCAACTGAAAACCATGTTGCTCGTGTTCTTCCTACATCACCACATCCAATATTTTTTGTTATTGGGTTATATTGCGACTCAACTGTTTTTTGAAATGTCGGTGAATTAATAATAAAATTTGTCGTAGGACATTTACTTTTGACGAATCCAAGTATTAAGAATAGTATCAATATCATTTCCTTTTTTAGTTCACCCTTTTTTAAGTTTTTTTGATTTTTGGTGATTTTTGTTTTTATTCATATCTGTTTTTTATCTTCTCTATAAATAAAACTTCCTTCGAAATAATTTCTTCTAAATTCAATTTTTTCTCTATTACACAGTTATTGTTTATTGTTTTTTCGCACAAAAATAAACTTGGTCATAAGAAGTACAGATACCAAAAAATAACTAAAATTACAATATGAATTGATGTGGTCTTTTATTGTATTATATAAGATTGTATTTTTAATACCATTCCTGAGTTCTTTTCATTTATTTCTTTATTCAGTTTATTATTTATTTATTTTATTTGTTGATTATTCAATTTTCTTCATTATTTTGTGTCATTAATCTCATTTTATCATTATATAATATATTATTTATATTATTGAATTTCTATTCATTGATTTGAGAATTTATATTTATTTTAATGATAATAGAATTAATAATAAATCATAATGTAAAATTAATCATTTTAATATATTATTTATATTTAATATATTTATATCATATGATTATATTCATTATATTTTATATATTATTTATGTTGATTTATTCTATATTAAATTATTTTAATATTTTTATTATTTATTCATGATTCATTGATTTATATGATTTATTAATATCATAATATGATTCTATATATTTTATGTATTTATCTTATTTCTGTTGATTTAATATATGATTATTAATTATTAATTATTTATTATCAAGATATTATAATTTATATTATATTTGATTTTTATTAATTTTAAATGATTCATTATGAATATTAATTATATTATGATTATTATATTTTAATGATGTTATAAATACTTTCATAATTACATTCATACAATTGATATAATGATAATTAATAACATCATTCATATCATTTCATTTATTGATTAATATTGTTCTTCAATTTACTATATTTAATTTGATGATTTCATTGAAATTTAATTATTTATTACATATATTAAGAATATATTCTTTTGATAATGATATTTTCTTCAATTAATATAAATATATAATATCAATTCATGATGATTTCAAATTATTTATTTTCATTATAATTAAATTTAAATAATCTAATGTGATGATGATATTATCATAATTTCTATATATTTCATTCTAAATTATGATTTAATTTATTTTCATTTATTTTAATTAAATGATGATAAAATTAAGATATTCATTATCAATATCAATAATGTTATTTTTCATATTAACATTTTTTATTAATGAATTATACTCTATTTTCTATGATAGAGTTCATTTTCATTTTAATATATATTTTAGTTGTTTATTTTATTTTATGTGATATTTTAATATTATTAATATATTCTTTATCATTATTTACATTAATATTTATTATTTTTATTATATTTTCTATTTGTTCATTTCTTAATTTATTATTTAATTTCTTATTTAATAAATTAATTCAAAACAATACAACACATCAATTAAAATTATATTTGTTTAATTTATTGTGTTTTATTTTATTATTGTTTGATTATTATTTCTTGTTTTTTGATATTCAGTGTTTTGTTCTTTTATTTCTAGAATTGTATTTTTCATAATTGTAGTTTTGATCATTTGTAATGTCAATGATGATGATGATGATATTCTCAATATTTGTTGTTTATTTATCAATAATGTCATTATTTTCTTCTTCTTTATTTCTGAAATAAAAAATAAACAATAAAATGATGATAATTTTAATTGATTTTGTTCTTCATTTTCTCTTTGTGTATGGTCTAATTCTTCTTTTGTTTTTATGCAATCTCATAATTTTCAATTCAACTTTTTTATATTCAATGATTTTATTTTATTTATTTCTTATAATCATCTTCAACACAACAACAATATTTAATTTCTCATAATTAACCAGGAGAATGATGAATTCATCTTAATTCATATTTCTGTGATATTTATATTTTATATTCATTTATTTTTCATTGAAATGAAATATTTTATTATTTTAATTTAGAGTTTTCTTTTCTTATTTCATTATATGTAGTTTGAATATTGTTTATTTGTGTTTTAATCTTTTTTATTTTTTCTTCAAACTCTTTTCTAATTGTATCTCGTGTTTTTAAATCATTTCATTTGAAATAGTTCGTTCTTCTTTTTTGATTGAAATTCTTTAATAATTTCTTCTAATTCTTTGATTTTATTTTGAAGTGCGTTAATTTCTTCTTTGTTGCATTCTTCTTCCTTTTTCTCTTCTTTATCTTGTGTTTTCCTTTTATTTTCTTTTTCATTTATTATTCTTGCATATTTACATCTATCATTCATTTCTTTGTTTCGATTTTTGTTTTTGATTTCTTCTTCGATTGTTTTAATATCTTCACTTTTCCAATCTTTTGTTTTATCTTTGAATTCTTCTTTGTTTTTCTCTATTATTTTATTATTTATTATTGAATATACTTCTTGGAGAATATTATACAATTTCTTTACCTTCATACTTTTTAAGTATTTCTGAATATTCTCCTTTCTCCCATTTTCTTGTTATTCTTTTAATTTTCTTTTGAATTTCATTTGTTGTCAACCATTTAGATTTCTTATTTGTATAATATTTATTATCATTATATTTACTTTGTTTCTTATTTGTTTTTCTTTGTATTCTTCTTTTTCTATTCACTATTTTCTTGTTATTTCTTTTATCATTATTATTATTCATTTTATTGTTATTTCATTCCTTCTTTTCTTTGAACATGAATATCTGTTTGTTGTTTGATTTTCTTTACAAGACTCTATGGTATTACTCAATAAGCATTGCAACAAAATATAATGTATATTCTGAATTGATGAAAGGAACTAACTGATAAACAAAAACGAAAAAATGTAAAGCATTACTGGTCTAATGGTAGAATTTCACCCTCCCAAGATGAAGATCCGGGTTCGATTCCCGGGTAATGCACTTTTTCTTACTTCTATATTATTTATTTTTTAAAAAATCAGAATTGTTTTAATAATTTTCATTTTGTTTTTAAGATAAGACAAATTACAATTCTTAAATTTAAAATTGAAAATACCTCATTTTCTTATGAACAAAAAATATTCTTTGAAGAATTATTCAATTAATCAGTTAGTTCATCTAGTTTCATATTTTCTATTTTATATCATAATTTTAAATCTATTCACAATAATGAGATAGAAACAAATACATTTTATCTACATGTTGTTTCACTATACTTATTAATTACGTAATGTAATACTCTATCCAATAATACTATTAATTATTTACTGATTATTAAATGTGACATATCATTTTAATATAAATCATTTTAATTAATACTTTGACTCACTTCATTTTTTATTAAATGATTGAATTAATTCAATATGATGATTGGACGTAATTATTGAAATACAATTTAATTATATTTGAATTCATATTAAATTCTATTACATAATTAAACAAATTTAATTTACTGAACTAGTTGCAATAGTACTTTTGTTTTTTAATACTAATTATTTGGAATAGAGTATTAGACTTTAGATAAAGTTGTAATAACATTCTTTGATATTTTATTGTTGATGAATTATACTATTTATTAGAATCACCATTTAATAGACAAAATCATAAACACTATCATTTATTAACTTATTCTAAACCTTGAAATATTTACATATAAGGAATCAAATAACATTCTAATAAAAACTTATTAAAAATAGAAACCATCAATTTCTATAAATAAAAACAACGTGGCAAACATTGACCAATCAAATCAATTTTAAGGTTTTTTTAAATTTATAGATTAGAATAACTTCAATTAAAATAAAAATAAGAATGGAAAGAAATACAACAATAAACAATAAAGAAAAGGTCACGTTAGGATACAATGAAATAATGATAACATCAAAGTATTTTAATGACATTAAAGATTTTATTAATTTAGAAATTGGAATTAAAAGATTTCAAGGAAATATGGAACGATTTCATTTTAATCCAATTCCATTAAATGAACATTCAAGAAAATTCTTTCCTAATATTGAAACATTTCATATTTATGAAGAAAATGATGATGTGTTTAATGATGGAAAAATATTTAAAGAAGTAATATGGTATAAAGTCGATTATTCAAGATATTTAAAAGAGAAAGAAACAGGAAATATCTGTAAAGACATTGTATATGCTGATAAAGATAGAGAAAAATATGGAACTACAATACCACCAGAAGTTAAATCCCTTAGAATTGGATGTTTTGGTGGTTGTGAGGAATTAACATCAATTAATATACCAACAACAATTAGCGAATTAGGATGTGACTGTTTCAATGGATGTGAGGTATTAACAGCAGTCACTGTATCAACATCAATTAGTACATTAGGAAATGAATGCTTTTATGGATGCTCATCATTACCATCAATTGATATTCCAACAACAATTGTCGAATTAGGAGATAGGTGTTTTGAGTGGTGTCTTTCATTAAGTAAAATTCATTTACCCATGACATTAAAAAAATTAGGAATTGGTTGTTTTGGATATTGTTCATCACTAACATCAATTACTATTGACAACATCCAATTTATAAGTGAAGAAAGAATATTTATTAATGAACCTGTGTTACTTAGTATAGAAATTCCAAAAAATTTAGTGAGGATTAATGGAAAGAATATTGAAAAGAGAGATATCAATGAATTTATTATTCCATCAACAGTCAATGAGTTAGGAGATTATTGTTTTTATCAATGCTCATCATTGACATCAATTGACATTCCGTCAACTGTTAGTAAATTAGGTGATCATTGTTTTTGGGGATGTGAATCATTAACATCAATTGATATACCAAGTTCTGTTATTAAAATAGGAAATGATTGTTTCGAGTCTTGTTCATCAGCAATTAATATTAATATACCATCGTCCATTACTGAATTAAGTAAAAATTGTTTTGAGGGATGTCGTTCAGTAACTTCAATTACTATTCCAACGTCCATTAGTAAATTAGGAAATTGGTGTTTTAGTCGTTGTTACTCATTAATATCACTTCATCTACCAACAACAATTACATCATTTGGAGAACATTGTTTCGATCTATGTGATGACAAACTGAAAGAAAATAAACAAATACCAAGAAGATGTTTTGAATAAAGTGAAAGAAATTAAGAAGAAGTGATGACAAGAATTAGATAATTAAATAATTGGTCATCTAAACAAAAGAAAATTTTGAAAAGTTTTGATTAAATAAATATCAAATAAATCAAATTAATTTACTAGTATTTAGATTTTATTGTGTTGAGAGTTATTCAATTTAATTTTTCAACTCAATTTATTTTATTTGAAGAACCTATTTAAAGTGGATTTGAATTAAATATTCTTTATTTATGTTATGACTTATTTTTAAAAATAATAATTCTTTTAATGTACAAATAATAATGTTTAAATGAAAAGAACATATCTATGACATTCAGAACATAACATATCTTCTTTACAATTGACAGGAATTTGATAATTATTTTATTAGTACTATTCACTATTCACTTCTTTATGTGACAACTTCTGATATTATGAATTAATAACAGCACTACTGATAAACAAATACAACACTCTTAGTAATTATTAACTCATAGGAATGAATATGGTATTATTCATTTTTAATAATATTAAAATCAATTGAACATTTAAAACTTTGTTTCATTTTAATATTTTGATGTATTGTCTCTGACAAGTTCCTTTCCAACTTTACAATCAACAAACTAAAAAACATATGCTAACAACGACATGTAATACATTCATTTTATTTAAAAGAAATTCCTTTTGATTATTTGTTTGATTTATAAAAATTAGTATGAGAAATTGCTCAATTTATTTATTAACAATAAGTGTTAAGTTATCAATAAAACTATTAAAAGAGTTTGTGAATAGCTACTAGTTTTTGTGAATGATTAAAGTGAAATGAAGTAGTAAAGAGTTTAATTACAATATAAAAATTTATTGGTGTTGATGAAATTAATATTTGTTTCATCTGAATAAACTGAAGTAATACTAAGTTCTATTTTACTCATATCTTTAATAGTGTTATCTCATTCACTAGCTTTTAATCATCAATTTTCTCTTTCTTGTTTCTTTTTTATCATAACAATTAATTTCATTGTTATCTAATTCATCAACAAATTCTTCATAAATTATAATCAAAAGTACTTTTATTTATTATTTATTCATATTTATATTCTCTTTGGATTTGAGTTCATCTGAATAATCACCTGTCAAAACAAGATTGACTATAAGAATCTGTTATACTAAACACACAACAACTAGTCAATAGTTTGTTAAAATATTCATTGAACTTTCATAATACATGTTTGTTTGGAGTTGGAATCTTAAATGATGGTTTGTAACATGGACATAAGTCATGACCAATAAGAAACACAAGAAGAGAACAATAAGAATAAAGATTAGAAAGAAGAAAATCGAATTGAATAAAGAAATTGATAAATGGGAATATAAAAATAAGAAATAAAAATAAGAAACAATAATTATTGAAATTGAGATAAAGAAAAATAAATATAATGAATAAAAAAGAAAAAGGGTTTTCAAGAGAAAGAGAGAAAACAAATGACAGAACCACAAGGCTTTGATCCCACGAAATTTAAAATAATTACACGAAACGTTCTTACAGAATACAAAGAATTACCAAATGACTTAGCACGTGTTCAACGTTCAATGAAAGAAGAAGATCATCCATTTGCACAAGCACGAGAATATAAACGAGCATTAAATGCAACAAAATTAGATAAAATATTTGCTAAACCATTTATAGGGAATTTAGCAGGACATCCAGATGGAGTAACATGTATAACTCGAACAGGAAATGAAATATCATATATGGCAAGTGGAGGATATGATGGAGAAGTAAGGGTATGGAATGTTGGAACAAAACAGTGTTTGTATAATATTCAAGCACATGATACTGTTTGTAAAGGGATTAGTGTTTCTACAACAAAAATACCATATATTGTTACATGTTCAACAGATCATACATGTAAATTATGGCCATTATCAATTTCTACAGAAGAAGATAGTAAACCAGCAAAAGTAAATGCACCATTAATGACATATAATCATGAATTACCATTTTCATGTATTGATACAAGAAGAGGAACAGAAGATTTTTGTACAGGAACAAGTGAAGGACTTGATTTATGGACATTTAATAGAAATGAAATTGTACAACATTATGATACAGAAACAGATGGAGTTTTAGGATGTAAAATTAGTCCAACAGAAAATAATGTTGTTGGAATAACAGGAGGAAATCGAAGTATTATATTAATTGATCTACGAGCAAATACACCAATTAAAACAGTCTATGGAGTAAGAAGATATAATGATTTATCATGGAATCCACAACAAGTATATATGTTTACTGCATGTAGTGATGATTGGAATCTTTATACTTATGATATAAGAAAACTTAATGAAGCACGTACAATTCATAAAGGACATCTTGGACCAGTACTTACAGTAGATTATTCACCTACAGGAAGAGAATTTACTACAGGATCATATGATAAATGTATTAGAATTTATAATGAATGGTGTGGATATGCAAGAGATTGTTATCATACACAAAGAATGCAAAAAGTATTTAATGTTTGTTATAGTGGAGATGGACATTATATATTTAGTGGATCAGATGAAGGAAATATTAGAATATGGAAAGCATTTGCAAGTGAATCAACTAAAATTAAAGATAAAAGAGAAATTGCTAAACTTAATTATCTTAATGGATTAAAAAAGAAATATAAAGATATGCCAGAAATTCGAAGAATAGCAAATCATATTCATCTTCCTAAAGAATTAATGCATACAAAAACAATTAGAGATACAATGATTCTTAGTGAAAAGAAGAAAGAATTAAATAGAATGAAACATGCTAAAAAACAAAGAAAAACAATAAAAGAGAAAGAAGAAAATAAAAATTGAGAAGAATTTAAATAGAAAATAATTGATTGAAACGTGATTTGAAATGAAAAAAGATTTAAATGAGAATTTTTTTTTTTATTCTTAATTTAATAAATTCTTAATATAAAAATCATGATTTCTTTATACAATAATACAACACTGTGTTTTCTTCTTTAATTTAGGAAATGGTTGTGGTGTATTTGTTGTTATTAATAAATTATTTTGAACTAATAATCTTCCAATTTGTTGAAACAATTCATCTACATTATTATTTGATTTAGCACTTGTTTCAATATATTCAAACCCTTCTCTTTTAGCAAGGTCTTCTGCCTCTTGACTAGAAACAATTCTATTTGCAGCTAAATCAGTTTTATTTCCTATAAGATATTTAATAATATCTTTAGGTGCATAATACCCAACATCTTTTAACCATCCTTTAACACTTTCATATGTTGTTCTATCAGAAATATCAAATACTACGATAACCGCATTTGCGCTAGAATAATAACTTTTTGAAACCATTGAGTTTCGTTGTTTACCACTATAATTCCACTATAACAAATAAGTTTAAAAAAATGTTTGTATTTTTGTATTAAACAAACTACATTTAGAAATACTTCTTTATCATCAACATAATAACTCTTTGTATTACAATTTGTTGATTTATTGTTGTCTTTAAAATAACCATACTATTAATTAAATACTTTATACGGGATAACACAAAACAAACAAACCAAAAGTTGATTAATTAAACACGTCTTTCCAACTCCCTCATCTCCAACCGTAACGATAGTAAATGACTTTATTTCATTATTTTCATTACACCAACTACATTTTTCATTTGGTTTTCCAGTAACGTAGTCTTGACTATAGATTGATGGGGGTGTTATTGAAGAGAAGATTTGTTCTTCTTTTGTCATAGTAAATTCTAATTATTTAATCAGTTCTTTCATTGATAACTCTTGTTTATTGTTTTTTAATAATTTGTGTTGTTACTATATCTGATAGTTATTTTACAATTTATTCTTTCTATTTTTTGTTTTTTTCTTCTAAAGGGTAACATTTTATTAAATGTTCATTGTTTAAAAGTATTTCAATTATTGTTTTAAATCCGGTTAGGGAATTTTTTTTGTCGTGTTGACCTTTTACTCTACTTACTTAATTTTTGTAATAATATTCATTATTATTTTAGTTTATTTTATCATATATAATAAAAATTAATAAAATAAGATTAAAAAAAGGAAGTATTTTAGGAATTTTATAGAAAATTTAATAAACGAAAATAAGGAGATAACACATACTAATAAATCGAATTGGTTCAATTTATTAATACCTACCACCATAACAACTGTTTTATTCATTTTACGTACAAAACAATTATTTTTTTTTTACTTTCTAAATTATTTTATCTCAGTATAAATATTTTACACAACCTCATTTGTTTTATATTCTTTTTGAAGTTTTTTATATTCCTCAATTGTGTTATACCATAAATCAGTTCCTGGAAATCTATACTTTCCTTTTCTAATATGAACTGGTGTAAATTTAAACATTCTATCTGCTTGTTCTTTTGATATAATTAAATACGAATTTTGTGTTCGAAGATCAATAACATTATTGTCAGTTGGAACATTAATTTTTTCTGCTGTTTTAACTAATGTAATATCTTTAAATTCTTCAACTTTTTGTCTTATTTTTTCTGCATAACTTCCACTTATTTCGTTCTTATTTAACTGAAGAATAGGGTTATTAATCAAATCAACATCACCTCTATCTTCTTCCATATTTTCTTCGGTATGTGTAAGTGTTTTTTCATACTCAGTATCTTTTTTGACTCTCTTTGTGTATTTTCTTTTAGTTCTTTTACCTACTTTCTTTGGGACTTCTTCTTCTTCAACAAAAGAAGTTTCAGTGTCTTCGTTACCTTTTTTTGACTTCTTTAATTTTATAGGTGCAATAGATCTTGTAAGTCTTCTATTAGTTGGGTACTTATGATGAAGTTCTTCCTGGATTTCTTCCATATCAATTTCTTCACTTTCTGCTAAGAGATGAGTTGTTAAATTTTATTATAAAACAATTACAAGTGTTATTATTCACTAAAGGTTTATACCTTTTTAATAACTAACTTATTTATTTCAAACACTCAAAGGTTTTGGTCTTACTTCTTGTGATATGTTATTAGTAATTGAACAAACAATTTATTGATCTACTTGTATTTTCATCATCATCTTCTTCTTCTTTTATTTTATCCTTTTTTGAATAAACCGATTGATATCTTGCTTGGCGTTTTCTTCTTCCAATACCTCTTCTTCCACTCATCAGAATACTTAAGTTTTTCTTTCTTTTCTTTTCAAGTTTTAGTTCTCTTTATATCGTTTCGTTTTTAGAAGATTCTTGACCTGTTTCTTATTAGTTTTTTAATAGTTTTTTTAGTTTTCATTATTTAACTTTTTTTATGATTTTTTATAGATGCCTTGAACATTTCTTGAAATACAAAAATACCATATCTATTTATAACTTATTTTGATTTCTTTTTTTGTTTTCATAATGTGTTTTATATTCATTTTTAAGAAAACTTGAAAAAAAAAGAACTTAAAATTGAAGAGAAATGGCGGAAACAAAACAAAATCGACATTTTAATTCAATTAAAATTGGGGAATTATTATCGATTTCCACAAGACCAGAATTAGGTCCGACAGATATATTATATGAATATCAACAATATCTTGAGGGATATTTTACTAAAACATTATCAGTGAGAAAAGAAAAACCTAAATATATTGTATGTGATGAAAGGTCAAAATTGTTGTTAGAGTTGACTGTTGGTACTGAGTTACAAAATCCAAAGTATTCAATAGAAGATATATTATTACCATCAGAAGTAAATAATTATAGAAGAGATGTCACAAACTTTATTTTTTTAGCAAGTGATATTGAAGGATATAAACAAATAGCAGAAGCAATGAAAAAGATTCGATCTAATAATCAAAGTGAACTTAATGATGATAGTTTAATTGAGAATTTTACAATATTACGTCCATTTGGTACTGAGATGTGGGATATAGAAATGATTAATTTTTGTGATATGACACGATGTAAAATAGAAAGATTACCTATTATTCTTCCACTTATTCAAGAAGATGTTTTATCAATGCAAATTGATGATGCATTTGTTAGAATTTATTCAAATTTTGATTTAGGAATTTTACAATTATGTGCTGAAGGAATAAATGATCTTCAAAAAGTTATTGGTAGATTTCCAAGAATTCATTCATTAGGAAAATTATCAAGAAAACTTAATATAATGATATCAAATCCTATAGGTGAAACAGGAGTATCAACAAGATTTAGTGATTGTTTTATTTTTGATAGAACAGATGATTTAATAACTCCTCATATGCAAGGATATAATTATTATTCAATGCTTGATAGAGTAGAAGATATTAATGGAGATATGACAACAGTAACAGTTGATTCTTCTCTTTTAATTAAAGCAACAAAATATAATAGATTAGAAGAAGTTTTAAAAGGAAAAATGGAAACTATATTTCCTTTACATGGAAATAATTTTAGTAGATTAAGAGATTTACAATTTAATACATTTCCTGATGAAATTAAACAAATGACAAGTGAATTTTCAGAAGAAACATTAAGTACAACTGATGCAAGAGAATCAAAAACAAGAACAAAAATGTTACTTGAAATGTTACCAAAACAATTTGCTGCATTTATGTTTTTTGATTGTCATAATAGATTTTATCAAGAAATATTAGCACTTGCAAGATCAATTGATTTTAGAAGAGAAAGAGATGAACAATTAGAATATATATTAAAATCATTTGATTCATCAACATTTTCTTATTTTAGTGATTATGATCCATTTAGTAAAATAGAAGATATGATTTATGATAGTCCAACAATGGAAACATTTTTACAAACATCTCGTGTATTTTGTAAATATGCATTTCCTGATAATCTTGCAAGAGTATTAAGTCGTATTTGTTTTTTATGTGGATTATTTGGTGGAATTAAATCAAATCAATTGGATAATATTAAAAAATTATTAATACAATTCTATGGTGTTTGGGTTGCTTCTGTATTTGCTAAAATGGAAGCATGTGGATTAATTTATAGAAGTGATAGTCAAATTAAAAGAAGATCATTTGCTGATATACATCGATGTGTTAATTCAATGAGTAAAGAAAGTGATTTTATTGGAGAGAAAGAATCATTAAAAGCACTTGATGGTATTTATGACCATTATCAACCATTAATTGTTAATTACATTAATGACTATTTTATGAGAATAACTGGAGAATATACTACTACAGTTAAAGAAACAAAAAGAGGATTTTTTGATGATGATGAAGATGAAACACCATCTTTAAAAGAAACTATTGACACTTCAACTTGTCGTTTTGATAGTTTATTTGCTCCAGAAGAAAAGACACTTACAAAAAATGTTGGAGAAGTTAATCCAAGATCAGACCATATTTTTGTTTTTGTTATTGGAGGAATTTCATTAGGAGAAATCTCCATGTTAAAATTGATTGGTGAACGTTATAATAAGAAAGTTATTATTGCAAGTACAAATGTGTTTAGAAGAACACAATCAATTCCTCATCAATTCATTGAGTCATGTAAAGAAGAATATGAATTAATATCAACTAAAGCAAATTAATTTAATTCAACTGTTATTCAAAATTACGTGATGAGTTTATTTTGATATGTATTTCATTATTTTAACTGAACTTGTTTTTAATTACCACAAAACACTTTATTTTATTATTTCAGAGAACTCAAAAATAGAGATGAGTTCAAGTGATAGTGAAAGTGATGAAATCATTGTTGGACAAATACCACAAGATAAAAAATCATTACTAGATGGAGAAGAGGATGAGGAAGGTCTAATCGACACAATTACTAGTAATGAAAAGTTAAAAAATGAACGATTTGAAGATGTTCCTCAAGAAGAAAGTGCAGTTATTGAACCATGTAAATATTCGTATGAAGGGAAAATTGTTGAGAATGAAGAATGGGATTGGAAGAATGAAAAATTCAGTTCAGATGAAGAGATAAACACTAACAATAAAGATTGTTTTAATTTTGAAGAAAACGCATTTGGGTATGTGTCATTGAATAATCAATCTGATGATGAAAATGAAAGAAATGACATCAACCAAGTTAACGAAGAGCAACCTATTGATGAAAAAGAAGAGGAAAAGAGAAATGAAATGATTAACAAAGCAATTGATGAGTATCTCAATGATGACAGTTACGAAGAGTGTATAAAAGCAGATGGGCACTAAGATATAAACATATTATCTATTCAAAGAAACAATTAATTTTAGGTTCATAAAATTATATCATATTGACAAATCGGTTTTGATTTCTTTATTATTCAAAATGTTAAAAGAATCACATGTATTCCATAATCGAACAAGTAGAAAAATTAAAGTATTTCTCAGTTTTGATAAACTAAATTTTATTATCATTTAGAGTATTCCTAATTAGATATACTTTCATTCTTTCTGAACAACACTATTAATTTTCTCTAACTATTTTGTGAGTAAATCAAATTTTCTCTTTTTTATCAAATGTTTTTAAGTTCTTTCTTGATTTTTATGTTTTATATGACATAATATTATTTCAACAAAATATCAATATTGTGATTTTTTAATGAAATTATATTTTTAGAAAATCCAAAAATACGAATTCAACAAAAATTCAAATCATAATGTTTCAATATTATTCTGAATGTTTAAGAATATCCAATGACGTGTTGAACTACAGAATTTAGATTGAAAAACATTTAAATGGGAAATTGACATAGTTCAGTTGAAGTATGGATTTTTCGTAATGACGGAATTGTTTTCGAAGGAGATATGGTTAAAGGAAGAAATATCGTTCGAAGGGATTGGGGAAGAGGTGAGTATTTAAAGATGAAACAAAATTTATTAATCATTAAAGAAAGACAAATGCAATACCTTGTTCAATGCCACATTCATATGCATGAAGACCGTGAATTATTTGCTAAAATCCTTGAACTTCAAAATAACAGTAGAAAAGAAAAAGGATGTAAATCTTATTTTGTTTGTCAAGAACCTACTAACACAACACATTATATAGTTATTCAAAGATGGGGAAATAAGAACCAATTTGAAACTCATTTAAATTCTTCTCATTATAAGAAATTCATTGAGTATGTCAAAACAGTCACTAATACTCCAATTACTTATGAGTATTTTGACACTAATTAACTTGTTTTTATTAATTCATTTTTAAGTTATATTAAGTTTATTTAAATAATACAACTTTTTATTTATTAAATTTAGATATTTCCAAGGGTAATGTATAATGAAATATGTTACTATCTTTTATTGATTAAATAAAATTCATATGATGTTTTATATATTGTCAATAATTAGAACTATCTAATAATATATCATGATAAATAGTTAGATTGATACAATTTCTTTCTTGACTAAACTTATCTTCGTTACAACCTCTTACCAAAACAGTTATATTTGAAATATAAGGTAAATTACATTTATTATATATTAATCTTTTATTCATCTTTGATATTAGTATAAAATTACTACATATTATGTTATTTCAATTTTTCTTTCCTTTATTAATATAAAATGAAGTCTTGTCATATCAAATAACTAGTAATATAAATACACCATTATATCAATTCCAATAAACATTAACACATAATCATTCTTATTCTTATTATTTATTATATTTGATTTGATATTTTATTTTATATTGATTTTTATCTTTGATTATCATCATTTATTTCTTATTTTTATTCTTTGTTGTTATTATTTTATATTAGATGATATTTTATTATTTTATATTTGTTTATATTGTTTGTTTATATTTTATTATTATTATTTATTGTTGTTTATCTTATATCATTTATTTATTATATGTTGTATTGATATTTAACAATGTTAATATGAAATGAATAATAATGAATAAATATAAAATAAGAATAAAAAGATATAAGAATATAACATAAATAATAAAATAAGAAATATATAATAGATATAAAGATAAAAGAAGAAGAATAAAATAAATAAATATAAAATAATATAAATAAAATAAAAAATAAATAAAAAAGAATAAAATAAATATTTTATTATATTTTTATTTATCTTTTATTCTTATTTCTTTTTATTATTTATTAAATTAACACCATCATTGAATATGATTATTTTAAATAAAATAAAACAAGAAAGAAATATGAACATTTTTATATTCATCATTTCATTTATTGATAGATGAAATGTTCATATTCATTTATTGATTTTATTTTATATTCTTTTTTATTTTTATATTTCAAATAAATAATAATGAATAAAATCATTTCATTTCAATTACAATGAACCGTTGTGGTGTGAAATAGTATTCTCCACAAAGTGGGTTTGATAATTCTTTATATTCAAATGACCATTGACAACAATATGAATTTATTTTATTATTTTCTTTACAAACACAAATATCACATGGACATCCAAATCCAAACAACCAATTATCTGATTGACTAAATAAACAAAACGCCTCTTCTGGATCATTGATATCAAATTTCATCATTCCTTGTATTCTTCCATTTGATTTTAATGAAAATAGAAATGATTTTGGATCATTTATCCATTTATTAACTTTATCAATTTTTTCATTAACATATCCTCCAAATATGTTTCCATCTTCATCTTCAATAATAATTATTATATGTTCTTTATTTATTATTTTTTCTTTAAATACTGATGTATCATAGTTCCAATCATCAATATCTGAATCAAATATAATATTGGATCCTTTTCTATTTGTCCATTCTTCTAGTTGTTTGATTATCTCTTCCGTTGTACTCATTCCTTTCATTATTCTTAACCTTTCTTCATCTTCATCTTTTCTCTTCTTCCTCTCTAAATAATCACTATATTGTGTAAACCATTCTTCTTTCTTTTTATTAAATCTTGTTTTAATATTGTTAATTTCTTCTTCTAATTTCTTAATTTTATATTCCATATTCATTTCTTCCATGTGAATGATTTTATCTATTAGTTCGTCCTTTGCTTTATTAACTGTTTCTGTTTCATTATTACATTCTTCTATTATTTTATTCATTTTATTCTTAATTATTTCTATTTTATTTATTGTTTCTTGTCCTTTTTCTATTACTATTCTTCTTCTTTTAACTACTTCATCAATTCTATCAAATATTCCTTCTCCTCTTTTAATTGCTTGTTCATATGTTTCATTATCTTGTTTCTCAAATATTTCATTTTTAATACATCCTAAATAATAATGATATTGTTTAGTAGTATCATCAATTGATTGTTGAATATTTGGAAGTGTTTCTATTTCTTCTTTAAAGAATTGAATGTTTTTGTTTATTAACTCTTCCATTTTAAATTAATTAATATAGATTAAAATAAGAAGATTAAATAATTAAATACACATTTATAACATTATTTTATTTATTATTTTATCATTCTTTATTTTCTTCATTAAATAAAATGTTATTTCTTTTTATTATATTTATATTTATTCATTCTTAATTTCTTATTGAACTTTATATTTAATCAGTTTATTGTAATTCACTTCATCCATTCATTCATTATTTATTTCTTATTTTTTATTCTTCCACTCTTACATATTTTATTCATTTATTTCTTTTTGATTTAATTGATTCTTCAACTTTCTTTATTATATTTTAGATCGAGTATACTTCTTATTCTATATCATACATTTTTATTATCACTGTACTAATCTGTTTCTTTCATTTTTCATTTCTTCTTTCTTTTGTATTTCTTTTACCATTCTTATTGTCCATTTTATTACTCTTCATCACTCTTCTATATCCCATTGAGTATTCATGCCTTGTTCTCTTTTCTTTACAAAAAAACAAATATTACTCAATACAATGCTGATAAACATTGTTATATTATTTGAATTGAAAAAGGGGTTAAAAATCATTCAATACAATGAATAAATAAAAAGAAATGAGTTAAAGAAAAACAGTGAAGAAATTGAAATAACAAAAAATGAATTGTTATTAAATTATTGTAAAATAAACAATAATTAAATTATATTGTTATAGAATATGATAATAGTAAATAAATAGTTTATTATTATTAATTAATTGTATTTCAAAACACAAAACTTGTTAATTTCATTTCATGCAAAACAACCAAGGGTTCATTCTCTAAATAAACTCTGTTTTATGTTTGCAAGAGTAAAACCTTGATTTTCCCACATCTCTATAGAAGAGAATGTGTAGTTCAAACTTGGGATATCTATTATTTGATGGTTTTTTATATCTTTATCATTTTCTTTTTTTTTGTGTAAGAAGAAATGTGAGACTGAAATAATCTTCTTTATAGTTAAATTAAGTAAATTGTTTTTTGGTCTGTTTTTTCCTTTAAAAAAGACAATAATTAGTCTGTAATTTGTTTTCACTTAAAAATCTCTTTCTATATTCGTTTAATGCATTGTCATAGAAGTTGACTGGAATAACTTGGCTAAGAAAAGTGAGAAAAGAAGTGGTAGTAAGTAAGAGTGGTTGAGTGTGGTAGGTTGCACAGACAGATGCCATTGAATCTGAATAACACCAGCCAATCAGAATAAGAATAAGAGAAAGGAAAGTCAAGGAATATCTTAATAGAAAAACAATTTAATTGTTTGTTAATACACATTGTTATTAACTTTCTATTTCTAATGTTTTCTTCGTGGTGATCGTTCACGTCTTCTAGACCTAGATCTTCGACTATGTTCTTTTCGACTCTCATGTTCTCTTCTTTTGTATTCATCACGTTCTCTTCTACTTTCTTTATCTCTGTTTTCTCTTCTACTTTCTTTGTCTCTGTTTTCTCTTCTACGCTCTCTTTCTTTATCTTTTCTTCTACGTTCTCTATCTCTTTCTTCTCTCTTACTTTCTTTATCCCCATCTTCTCTTTTATTTTCTTTGTCTCTATCATCTCTCTTCTCACTTTGATGTGTTTTTCTTTCTTCATGCTTATCATTCCCTCGTTCTCCGTGTTCTTCTTTCTTTGGTTCTTCTTTGCTTTCCTCGATTTTTGGCTCATTTTTTATTTTGTTTTTTGGTTCTAAGTCCATGATTGCTTATTTTGTTTTGACTGTTGTGTCCACTGTTGTGATTTCTTTTTCTGCTAACGAGTTTTTGTACAACTCTCTCAGTTTCTTTGCATACCCCGACCACGTCTTTTCATTAAATCCATAGTTGAAATATTCTTCGAGATTTGCTCCTTCTGTCTCCCATGGTTTATCTTCTGGTGCAAGTGTTTCAAATCCTTTTTCTCCAGTGAAAACATCCCAATATCTGTTGAATTCTTCATCCGCAATAAACTGTGAGAAGTTAAATAGAAGGAGTTGATAAAATCGATAACTTTCATCTGATGGTGTTTGTGGTTTTTGTGGTGTGTTTTGTTGCATTACTTCTTTTCAGTTTTTTTTTCTTTTTTGAACTCAACTTAGAAAGAAGTTCATGACCATATTTAATCAATGTTGTTCATTTCAACACTCTTAATAAAAGGTGTTTTTATCTTTGTTTCTAGTACTTACATTGACCATGTTCTACTTGAATGTTTTCTGTTGTTTGATTCTTGTTTTTTGAAGATAGTATGAACAAAAGAAACATTCATCACAATAGTGAGTTGTTGAAGATTGTATCACATAACCAGTGAAACACGAACCAATGTCTTTTCATCTTGTTAGTAACGAACAACTCACAAACATGACCAAAAGACAAAACCAGAAGAATAAGAAATGAATGTTTTTTGATAAATAAATATGAAAAATATAATCAACAATTATCAAATCATAGTGATATTTTATTTGATTTAAATACATAAGTTTGTCATTGAGAATAGTAGAGTTTTTGGATATAAACTTATGAATTGAAAGTATTATTCAACACATTCATTTCGTTGATTTGTTTTAATGACTCAGTTTTATATCACGAGATTATGTTATCACCATTTCATAGAATTCTGTGTAAATGAAATTGAGTTGTTTTCTAAATAAATAAATGAGTTTATCATTTCAACAAAAATTCTAGTATCAAACATAAGATAATGGATTAACAATTGATAACAACAAAAAGATAAAAGTAAAATACACATCGTTAATGATATTGAAAATACAAATAACTCAACATTGTGTGATATTGTTATTTTTAATAGAATAAAACAAACTATGAATAATGTAATGATAATTAAATAATAATTAGTTATATATCTCGCTTGATTATTTGAAATATAACTACAATTATTATGACAAAATACAATAATTAAGAATTATTCATTTCATATAGAGTCTCATTGTTATTATAATCATATATTGTTATGTTTTAAACGACTAACTACAATTAGTACTGAAAAGAATTGATACAAATACTTTTACTCTTTTGTTTCATTATTACTTCTTTTAGTTTGAATAAAAGATAACTAATAAAATTATTTCCATTGTGATAATTGTATTCAATGTAAACTTAGTTGTTTATCTATATTCAAATGATAATTGATAACAATATGATTTTATTTTATCATTTTCTTTATAAACATAATTATCATTCATCATTAAAATGAAAATATAATATCATTTGATTTTCAAATAAACTATTTGTTGTTTAATACCAATTTTCATTACTGAGTTTATTATATCATCTGTTTCTAATGAAAATAAAAGATATTTTTAATTAAAATGAAAGAATAAGATGTTAAGATATGGTAATTTCATTCATTCTTTTGGTTTTCATGTTTTAATTGAATTTAATTACTTAAATTAGTAAATAATTAAATAACAACAAGACATATCATATGTAACAATTATGTTTTAAAATACTTTTTAGCTATTAATAATTCTTTCTTACTATTTGAATGAAGAATTCACAACTATAACCATAATAAGAAAGTTTCTATTCAAAATATATAATGTACGATCATTCTATTCTATTATAGTTAATTTAGAATATAGATGATACAGATCATAATATTAATAATATTAAAATAAGTCAGTGGTAATCTTGATTAACTCTTAGAAAGTATGTTATTCTTAACATATCATATTTAATAACATAATATATTTAAGAGGTATGACATTAGATAACAAAAGGAAAATCATTGTTATTTAAAATTAGTACTAATCAAAAATATTCAATGATTTTATTAATATATGATTTATTCTTTATTCTTTAATATCAATACTGATAAAAAAAAATTATAAATGAACACTAATTTATCCAACAATACCTTTAATTTAAATAATATCATTAAACTAATTCATTTGCATTGATTATTGATTAATGTGTGTGTGTTCAATATTAGTCAATATGAGTGAAACTATTTATTTTTGAGTATAAAATTAGTTAAGACTTCATTGTTCTAGAATATAATTTTTGTTTGATTGATTGTTTAAGAAAATCGTTTGTTAACATTTTAACCAAATAATAACAAAATCAATAACAAATTCATAATAGAAAGGATATAGAAAGTGATGATAAAGAGATTAGAAAGTCATTGTAAAATAGTAATAAATGATAAAACAAAAACGAAAGAAAAATAGAAAAAATCATATTTAAACAAATATCCAAAAACTGATTAATCATACAATGAAATTTCTTGTTTATGGAGGTAAAGGATGGATTGGAGGTATCATTATTAATATGTTAAAGAAAGATAGACATGAAGTATTTGTAGGTGAAGCTCGACTTGAAGAAAGAGAAAGAGTTTTGAAAGAAATTGAAAAGTTTCAACCAGATAGAATTATTAATTGTGCAGGAAAAACAGGAAGACCAAATGTTGATTGGTGTGAAGACCATAAACAAGAAACAATTAGATCTAATGTACTTGGTACAATTAATTTAGTTGATTGTGCATATCTTCATCATATTCATGTAACTAATTTTGCAACAGGATGTATTTATGAATATGATGAAAAACATCCAATGTATTCAGGAATTGGGTTTGTTGAAGAAGATGAACCAAATTTCAAAGGTAGTTTTTATTCATATACAAAAGGACTTGTAGAAAAAATCTTAGTTAATTATCCTAACTTATTAAATTTACGTTTAAGAATGCCAATTTCAGATGATTTAAATCCACGTAGTTTTATTACTAAAATTCTTCATTATGCAAAAGTTGTAAATATTCCCAATTCAATGAGTGTTTTAACTGATCTTCTTCCAACTGCTATTGATATGTCTATTAAACAAACAACTGGATTATTAAACTTTGTTAATCCAGGAGCTATTTCACATAATGAAATTCTTGATTTATACAAACAATATATTGATCCAAAATATACATATGTTAACTTTTCACTTGAAGAACAATCTAAAATATTAAAAGCAGGAAGATCAAATAATGAATTAAACACAGATAAGTTTTTACAAATGTATCCAAACATCCTA